CAGTTGGAATTGTCCAACTGTTTTCAAGCTTCGGACATGAATGGTACATCAAATATCTCCGACAAGTATGACATCTTTGAAAACACATTCCGAGAGGTGGCAGAGGAAGTGTTCAGCAAACGTGAACCATGCGGATTGCCAAGCTGGGTTTCAGACACTACCGTCAGATTAAAAACAGAAAGAGATGAGGCCAAGCGAAAATACAGCATTTCCAAATCCTGTCACTGTAGGGAAAGATGGAGGAACACCAAGCTGAACGAATCTTACAAAGAAGACAAAGCGGCTGCACTAAGCAAACAGACAGAGGATCTGAAGTTAGCTGATGAGACGGGTAATTACAACACCACCTGGAAGATAATTCATAACCTTTCTGGGAAGCAATCAAGGCAAAATCCGAAAGTGAAAAAGAGAGATGATACAGCTTTAGCTAGTAGTCAGGATTTGCTCAAGGAGTGGAAAATTATTTTAGTTCCCTTCTTAACAATGATAGTGAATTGGACTCACTAGAATTGCCAGCACCAGCTATTGAGGACCTTCCTATCATCACGGATTCCCCTACTCGTGAAGAGACAGCCGAAGCCATAGCAGCCATGAAAATCCATAAGGCAGCTGCATTGGACTGTGATGTTACTGCTGAAACACTGCAGGGATGAGGTGATTGCATAATCGACATTATTCATGCTTTCTGGAAGGAAGTATACACTACACTCTCACCTCCACTACAATGGGTCATCAATGTCATCATTCCTCTATTAAAGAAAGGCGACTCTCCCTTATGTCAAATTACCGGGGCATCTCACTAATGTCTATTGCAGCAAAAGTCTACAACAAAATCCTGATCAACCGTCTTAGACCACATATTGATCCTGTGCTAAGGAACAACCAAGCCGGTTTCAGATCTGGTTGTAGCTGTGCGCAGCAAACTCACATATTAAGGAGGATCATGGAAAGTTTTAAGGAATACCAACTGCCTCTGATAGTCACCTTTGTAGACTTTAAGAAAGCCTTCCACTCCATCAACAGGACAGTTATGTTTGCAGTACTGCGTCATTATGGCATTCCAGAAACCGTGGTTAAGGCCATCCAAGTACTCTACAACAATTCAAGTAGTATTGTCATGGTGGATGGGAATATCTCAGACCCATTCCCAGTAACAACAGGTGTCCTGCAGAATTATGGATTCTGTGGTGTATCATATAATTGGTTCCAAAATTATTTATCAAATAGAA